TTAAAGCATTTTCTTAAATCTACAATTAAATAAGTTATTAACTGAAAAGAAATAAGTATACTAATAAGTCTATGTAACACAACAAAAGTCATGATTAGTAATTAAGCACTCCTATAAATACTAAAATTAATAATTTCAAAGATTTAAATTCTAATCTAACAAAATAATAGAAATGAACTAATCTATTAAAATAATACATTTCAAGGTTTCAATTAGAGAAACCATTGTCACATGTCATCTCTAGAATTATTGCTTTGAATCCCTTTCTAATTAAAGGAATCCATTCGGTATTCCATATAGGAATTCAACTCATCAATTACTACTCAACTAAAACACTAACTCCTATTTTTTAGAAATCTCATCAAAATAAAATCTTATTTTTTAAAAGTATTTTATTTTTTATTTGTACACCGATTGCTAAAAAAATATCAAAATTCATTTTTTTTAATTACCTTTCAAATGACATCAATATTGAATATATATAAATAAAAAAATAATTTAACACTTTAAAAGACATTTTGTGTTTTTAATCTGATATAACTTTTTTATTTGTACTTTAATTGCTACAAAAAATATATCAACATTTCTAATTTGTTTATTATCGTCCAATTGACACCAATATTGAATATACAAAAATAAAAAATAATTTAACACTTTGAAAGGAATTTGTGTTTTTAAATTCATGTAACTTTTTTATTTGTACTCCGATTGTTACAGAAAATATATAAAAAATAGTAACTTTTTATTATCTTACATATGACACCAATAATGAATATATAACATAAAAAAATAATTCAACATTTTAAAAAACATTTTCTTTTTTCAAAAAATCTATTGGTACACATTTTTCATACACACACCTACAAACTCATGTTTGTGAAGAGTATTTTTTTGTATGTATACAGACATAACATATTTGAAAATGTGTTATGTCTGTATACAGACAAAAAAAATACTCTTCACAAACATGAGTGTGTAGGTGTGTGTATGAAAATGTGTCCTCAAGCTGGATTGTTCTTTTTAAAGTGGTACTACGTATAATTTTTTTATTTGTACTCCGATTGTAACTAAAAGTATATCAAAATTCATGTCTTTTTTAGTATCTTTCATATGCCATCACTATTTTATTTATAAAAAAATAGTTTTATTAATTTGTGCAGTTTAGGATCATTCTTTTTACCGTACAAACTATTAATCCCAAACTTTGAAGAAGCGTGAGGTAAATAGCCCTTATTCTTTCAATAATTAGTTCATTGCAATATTCTTCTCCGTAGATATATTCTTCAAATTTTTTTAGAATATTTAGGATGTTTTTAATTGGATTAGTTTCAATCTTAGACCAGATCAGACTAAAATGTACCAGATCAAACTAAACTAGATTTTGACAGGTTTAAAATACGTATAGGACAAATATATACCAGAGCATACCCGTTCAGATCAAATCAGTACATACTAGACTTAAATAGATCAGATTGGAAAATTTTTAGACCAATGACAAACACTCTTACTCGAGATTTATATGTGAAAACACATTTTCATTCTAATGTAGATTAACACAGTTTTACTCAAACACAATTTCACTAGGCTTGTAACACCCCCATTTTCCCTCCCAAAATAATACTTGAAATAATAGATTTATTGATAATAAACTTGATTTATTCTTTCAAAATAGATAAAAAGTTTTGCAGCGGAAATAACATTAATAGGGAAATGGGTGTTACCGCCACATCCGGTCATCTCTTAACCGAATGCACAGGCAATCACAAAACTAAACAAAACAAGTGTTCAACATAACTAAAGTGTTTATTCTTGACTAAGTTTGTCTAAGGCATCTTCTATGTCGCTCTCAGGCGCATGCAATCATCAATCAACATAGTCATCATTACCTGCACAAATAAAGTGCAGAAAACAAAACAGGGAAAAGGAAACAAAAATTAGCTTTAGAGCTAAGTAAGTACTACCCAACCCCGTAAAATAATCAGGTTTGGCGAAAAATAATTTTTCATATAATACTATATAAAAATGACACACTCCACCAAAATTCTTAAAAATCCATTTTCTTCCCACAAAACTTTTTGGTGTTTAAAATAATATTTATAAACTGTAAATAACTCACACCTTTCCAAAAATAACTTTATAGCTAATCACTCTTTTTAAATATACTCAATTTCTCTTTGAAAATAACCTCCATAGTCTTCCTCTTTCCAAAATCAAAATCTCCTACTTTCTTTTAAGATGAGCGGTACTTTCGGATACTTATGCCCGAAGCCCAATGAGTCGTTTGTTATTTACGAACTCATTCCGGAATCCGGTTCCCATCACTATCTCTTGAATCGAAAGAGACTACTAAACTTGTTCTCTTCAAGTAGTAGTAGCCCTAACCATCCTCTACATTTATCCGGATGTGAAAAACCGACACCACGGATTTCTCCCAGGGTGCTCACCTCTTATGAAAATGTTAATTTTCATCTTGAGTCAAGATATACCTCAAAATATTTTCCAAACTCTCTAAATAGTCTAAAAGGTATTTAAAAGTATTTAATACCCCAAAAGTACATAGTTTGTATTTCTCAAATACTATAGATTTAATATCTCTTTAAATAACACACATACATAATTCAAAAACTCAATACATAATCACATAGCACATAATAATCACATAGCACAGAATATTTCTCAAGTCTCCAAATATTCTCAATGGTGTTTAAAAATATTTAATACCCCCATATCTCAACTTTCTCAAATACTATAAATTTAATGTCACTTCACATAATACATATTCAAAATTCACACTTTAATCAAATAATAGCATATAATACGAGGAAACCATTTTGGATCGGCAGAGAAACTTACCTCGATTCGCAATTAATCCTTATTTGAAGCATTTATCTCGTTCTCCAATTTTCTAGAATAATATTAAAATTTTAGCATTAATAATTATTCCAATTTAAATTCCACAATTCTCATTAATCCAATATTTTCTCTTAAAGTTCTCCAGGCCCAATTGAATTTATTGTCACTATTATATTCATCATTTTATTATTATTATTATTATTATTATTATTATTATAGTCTTGTACACCTAAATGTTCTCTGGGCCAAATCTTAAAATTGAATAATCCAGTCCGGCCCATTAAAATTAGACAAACAATTAAGCTTGAAAGAGTCACCTACATACTCTTCTTCTCCGGCAAACTGGACGCAGGAATGGTGACAGCGGATGGAGTATCTTCTTCGACGGAAGACCCTTTAAGCGGCTTCAGCGACAGGCAGTGGCGGTCCTGGAGAGCGATGGCATCGTCCTGGACAGTAGTGAGTCCACCTCCTCCGGCGTGACAGCGATCAGACAGTCCGGTAACTCTTCCTCCGTTAGTCCGGTGCAGCAATACTCCGGCGAAGCTTCATTTGGCGGAGCTGCAGTTCCGGAGATGGTCTTGTCTCCTCTCCCGGTGATACACGGTGCTGGAGAAGGCTCTTACTTTACTATGGCGTCGCCGGCAAAGAGTTTCATTGATGCATGGGTTGGCCGCCTGGGGTGTATGTCCCTTTTGTTGGAGCGAGCGAGTGTGTATGACGTATAGTGTATATATATACTTCGTTTGTTTTTCATGTACATACATACCGCCTGGGTCTATAAATACTACGGACTTCATATATGAATGTAGTTTTGCATTCACTAAGGGAGATTAATTATAGGAGAGCACGTAAATAGTACTATCAGTTATCCAACCCTACAAGTTTAATCATGCACATACTAGCTGTACCTTTCTTCCGTTTCAGCCGATGGTTTGAAGCTTCGTGAGTTGGGTTCTTTGGTCTCATTCGATCATATCCATGTGTGTTGGTACGGTGTGTTGGTTTCATTGTATCCATGTGATGAATGTAGTTGTAGTGTATAGATACATTGTATCATATACCTCATATTAATTATTAGTGTCACCTATGTATATTATTGTGATGTTATTACGTACCTATTATATTGTTATGTGCATTATATATAATTTGTACATATATTAGATCTCAAAAGTCAATTGCTTTAACATATCATTGCAATTTTTGTATGGTATTTAGTGTACATGCTGTCAACTGACACTTCTCAATTAAGATTTTCACGATGTCACTTTTATTATTTATATGTATAATTATCACTTGTTACAAATACGTTACTTTCATTATTTAAGTCAAGGTCTTATCTGGTCAACATAAATAATATAAAATATGTTAATTTTATTATTGAAACATTTTCATCTCATTAAAAATGTCACTGATGTTAAAATTTTATCTTATTCACTTAATTATTAAAATGAGACTTTCGTAATATTTTATTTGACTAATAAATTTATTTATTTTATTCAAATTTTTGGGTGTCACAAGGCTCTTCTACAAAATTGTACTCAAATACAAATGATGAAATTAACACATACTTACAAGACTCATACACAATTAATAATCAATTGTAATTTCAATCTTCTTATTCACCACTAATTTATTTATCTTCTTATTTCCCGCTAATTTAATAATTACTTTTAATTACTTGTGTTAAAATTTACTAAATACACATTTGTCTTAATGTTATCTCAAATTTGTGTTTACCTTTCTAATCAAGGATATTTTTAATTGGAATCAATTTTTCGATCTTAACTACAAAAGTAAAAGTTATTTTTTACTTTAGTGCATATATTAATAATTAACACAAATCTTGAAATATTTTTGCCGAGAGTTTCAGATATCTCAAAGGTTTATTAATTACATATGTAGCAAGCATATCGTGATACTAAAAGTTAGGGATGGCAAGAGATTTTTTCCCAAATAATGCAATTTAATTAAATATTTACGTAATTGCTACCGGGTTAAAAGTATTTACGGATATACTGCTGGGCCTAACCCGGGTTAGAGACAAAGTCGCCAAACAGTTGGGCGACTTATAAGTCGCCAACCGGTGTGGCGACTTATAAGTCGCCAAACGGTTTGGCGACTTTGTCTTTAAAACAGACGGGTCGCCCAACTATCTGCAGACAGAACGCAGATTCCCCCAAAACAAAACAAAACAAAACAAAAACAGTCCGGTTATTCAGCGGCCAACCAACCGGCGATTCTTCGAGCTCCTCTCCGGCGACGCCACCTTGCCAAAGATTCTCCATCTCCATCTTCTTCAACACTCTTTCTTCTAGGTAAATCAAACTTCATTTCATCTCATATTTAATTTAGGGTTTAGAATGTAAAAATTTTGAATTTTTAGATTATGAATTGATTTGTTGTGAAACGTGGATATGTATGACATGTTGAGTTTTAATGTTGAATTAAATGTAATATTTTGATTTTGTTGTGGATTTGTTGTGTATTATTAATGTGAATTTTAATACAAAATTTTGATTTTCTTTTTATGTAATATTTTGCCATTGTTAGGTGTATACTTATCCTATAGGATTTGCTTAAATATGAGAGTTTTTTAATATGTTGTTATGTGTATGAAATGATTAATTTGGGTGTATAAAGTGTGTTTATTAATGTGTACTCATCAAATATGGACATGTATTGTTATTAGAATATGGATTTCTCCAACTTCTCAATCGTGTGTCATTGGGGAGGGAACTATTTGAGGAAGCAGGGCAAATACGCTATGAAGGTGGTAGCAGAAGGATTGTAATTGTTTCTCGTGGCGCATGTTTGCTTGAGATGCTGCAAAAAATCCATGTAACTACACAGATTCCTCCGACCCGTTCTTTGCAATTGAAAGTGAAATATCTCCTTCACGGGGGATCATACATGATTATGCCACTTGATGATGAGGAAGTTGGCACGGAAATGTGGATGATACTTCAGATGATGAATATGTCCACAATGGAGATTTACCTTGCAGAATCCATAGGTGACGCTTTTATAACTCCCTCAACTTCAAATGCTGTTGTATCTAGGCATAGTGTCAAAGCAAAGGCCTCCTCAAATGCTGTTATTCTAGACATGGTTGTAGAGGAAGATGGGAGGTATTTGCACAATGGTGCATCCTTTTTGGATGGCCAGGGAACTGATGATGATGCTGATGATAACATCAATGATGATGAAATGACAGAATCTGATGAAGATGATGACGATACTGTGACCGCAACTACTTCGTCTAGCCACTACGCTAGAGTATATGATCTCCCATCCGGCTTTGATGATGCGTGCAGCAGTGGAACATGTGTGAACAGGTTTACACGAGACGGTGAGTTTGCGGTTGGTTAACAATTTGACAACAAAGAACAACTAATCAATATGGTGAGCTTGTATTCTATCAAACGCAACCAGTTTTATCGTGTCCTGGAGTCAGATAAACATAAATGGGTTGTAGAGTGAAAGAGAAAGAAGGGACGTGATTGAACTTGGAGAATACGGGCCACCAAGAAACATGCAAACCTCGACATGTTCATAGTTGTGCGTTATCCTGGACCTCATTCCGATACTTGTGTTGGCAACAACGACCGTGATGATCATGTGGCGATTACTTCTGATTTTATTGCCCGAGATGTTATTGACCTTATTCGCACTGATCCATCCCTTAAGGTCCATACTATTATTGAGTTGCTGAAGGAAAAGTATGGTTATACGGTTTCGTACAAATGCACATGGTTGGGTAAACAAAAGGCCATTGATGAAATTTTTGGAGGTTGGGAGAAGTCCTATTCTGAATTGCCCTATTTCATGGCAGCACTCCAGCATTCCAATCTGAAGGCAATTGTGCACTGGTACCCACCCCTTACAGGTCCAACTGAGTGTGTCCATTTTCATAGAGTCTTTTGGGCTTTCAAGCCTTCTATTCATGATTTTAAGCATTGTCGACCTGTTTTGACTATTGATGGCACACACCTGTATGGGAAATATAAGGTACATTACTCGTGGCTATGGGTAGCGATGCAAACAACCAACTCTTTCCCGTGGCCTTTATAGTATGTGAATCAGAGAATGATGATAATTGACCATGATTTATGGCATGCATTAGGAAGTTTGTAACAAAAAGGGAATTATGTGTCATTTCTGATCGACATGCAGGTGTTATAAAGGCTATGATGGAGGTGGGGAGTAGTTGGGAGGAGCCCTTTGCGCACCATAGGCTATGTATGCGCCATCTTGCATCGAATGTGCACATCCATTTCAAAGACATTCACTTGAAGAATTTGTTTGTTTGGACTGCATGACATCGTTAGAAAAAAAAGTTTGATGGTGGGTTCAACAAGATAGGGGAAATGCGGGTGGAGGCGAGACAGTTTCTGAGGAACATTCCTCTGCAAATGTGGTCATTACACCATGATGAGGGTACAAATATGGTACCACAACTTCTAATATGGCTGAGGTGTTCAACAGTGTGATGAAAAGAGTCTCATACTTGCCCATCACAACTTTGGTACAAATTTCCTTTTTTGTGGCTAGACGTGAAAGTAGTAAAAGGAGAGTGACAGAAGGCCACAACTACTCCCCATACATAACAGACATCATTGACAAGAATAAGGACAAGGCCAAACACCACACAGTCACTGCATTTGATATAGGCCGAGGGCTATATGGAGAGCACTTGTGCTGTTGATATGCTTTGACATTGTTGAGCTTCATTTGCCTGATCGTGTTATGCGGCAGTTTGGCTATGAGCAGGTCATTCCAGCACCTGTCGACACATTTGTAGATCTTCATAAGTTGGATAGGCGTGGGGAGCCTATAGAGGATTGGTCGCTTAGACATGCCCGATATGTGGCTATATGGGATAGGCGAGCAGAGCTTGTTGTGACTGGGACGCCGACATTTGTCCCATCTGTTTCTGCATGCTATATGAGATGGTATTATAGCATCATGCGGGTGTTTGTCTCTCCATCTTTCTGACTCCCTACTCACCATTATCAGCCTAGTTCCATGGCTTTGCACTTGACGGTGAGTGTGCTCATAATTATTAAAGTAATTCATGTTCTGTATTTAACATTTTTTGTTTATTTCAAAATAATTATATTTCATTTTTCACATTTCAGACACGGGCTTTGCAGCATATACATGAACGAGCGACTGCCACAGTCAGTGAGACGCATGACGTGGACATGCACGATTAGATTCTGACGAACATTGCTTCCTTGTGTTCGCATGTGTTGGGCTTAGTGGACTATGGCCATCTTATACATATGACCCCCTCTCAGGATTCTACGCCATCGACATCTACAGTAGCAACAACTTCTACATCTTAGACTCAGCGTGACAGAGTTGTTCTTCAGTCGCGTCAACGGCGTAGGCGTATACGTCAACAGCCACACCTCCATGACTAGGACGACCAAGAAGACCTTCAAAACTTGTAGTTTGTCTCCATTATTGGACTTGTTCATGTACCCCGAATGTTGTAATTTTTTTAATCTGTGAAACACTTTACTTTATGACGTATGTCCACCTGTAAAGTATTGAATTTTAGTTACTTAATCATTTGTTTTTTTATGTGTTTATGTGTTGGGTTATGAAAATGTGTTGATTTTATTAGGCTTTTGTTTTTTATCTGTGTTTGTGACCAGGTTTTGTCAAAATGTGTTATGTTTTCATCTGTTTTCTGAAGTTTCTGGTTTTGCAGGTCCAGGGGGAAAGTCGCCAAACGGTTTGGCGACTTTCCCCGACCATAAGTCGCCAAACGGTTTGGCGACTTTCCCCGACCAAGGTTAAGCCCAGCAGTATATTGGTAAATACTTTTAACTCAGCATCATTCCCGTAAATATTTAATTAATTGACATTAATTCGGAAAAAAACTCAGATGGCAACGGGGCGGTTCTGGACCGGTATACCCATATCCATACCCACCCCATTCTTTGGTTTATAATCCCCTTACCCGCCCCGTTCCCCGCCGAGTAATTTTTTACCCGAACTGTACTCTGTTGGAACGGGGAACGGTTTTCCCCGCGGATAACCACATTATTTAAAAAGAAATTTGTTTTTCTAAAATAATATCACTAACAAACAATAACTTAATTATCTATTGATCACTATTTTTTGGTAAGCACATCAAATAAAATTAAATCAAATCCTATCACAACAATGAAGTTAAAATGTAATTACAAATTAATTATAACATTTAGAGTACTACACATGTACAAAAAGAAAAATAGAGCAACACTTTATAACTTTTATACTCTTAAATCATTTACATAGAAAATTACAACAACTACACAAACTAATCAAAACTAAAGTTAAAGGGAAACTGAAGTAATCTTTTACATAGAAAATTAGAGCAACTACACAAACGATACCTCGTATATTTTACAAATTATATGGTATATACCTAATATATGAGGTATTTACATATTTTTTTTTGCGGAAAAAAACTCATTTTATTGATGAAATTATTTAAAAAATATAAAATGACATTATGGACCAGGTAATAGTGCAGGTAATTGTATCCGAACTAAACAGAGCAGTTACGGGGCGGGTAACGGATCGTTAAATTGCCATCTCTACTATAAGTGGTGTTAAAGAGCTAGACAAATAAGTTAGGCTGCGTATAAAAGATTTTTTACTCATGGATGTAACTTTAATATATTACCGTTTAGTTATAAAAGTGAGATCATTTTTCGTTTCTAAATATGGGGCATCCTTATTTTTTATTTTTTATTGCACAACTTGACATGTTTATGTTTCGATTATTACCTACCATTTGACGTGAGAATTTTTTGTATATTAATTCAACCGACTTTCTAGATAAAAATTGGCTACTAAAAGTCTAAAGCATACAACCTTTCTTCGTTCAATAACACTTATTTTAACCCAATCTAAGGAAAAATAAATTGATCGCTACCAATCGTGTTATACAGCTGGCATGTTGTCGCCGCCACCATCTTCATTTTTTTTGACAGGAAACTAGCATATTATATTAAATTCAAACTCGCAGTACAATCATGTAAATTGCAAACAATAAAGTAACCCCTCTAAACAAAACTGATAAAAGCCCATCGGTCCTTTCACCCCAATATCAGACATAGAATAGTCCATTCCATAAAGAGCGAGACTAATCGCTGAAAATGTGAGAGCTTCGAGGCTATTAACGGCTGAATCAGCCTGATTGCCTCCATGCAGAAAACTATCCACTAAGACAAACAAAAACAACAATCTACCCCCTTATTGTTTATCAAAAAAATACCAAAATAGAAATAGTAAAATAGACTGGACTGAAAATAATAAAATTTAACTAGTAAAACTCTCTTCCAGACCCTAGCCATCAGATTCCTCCATGGCGGCGGTTCAGGAGGGGGACGAATCATCAACTCTTCGTCTTTTTTCTCCATCACCCGAATCTGAAGTTCTCCGTTCCAGATCAGCCTTCTATTCATCGCAAGCTAATCACCGCCCTTCATATTGAGCAAACAAACCCAGACGGTCACCCACCGATTCGGCCAAAACAACCGCGTTGATCGCCCACCCAGCCGATTGGAATCCAAATTTGCCCCTTTCACCAAACCCCGATCCACCATTGTTCCACCTAGATCAAATACAGTTGGTACAACTTCCATCTCAATGACCAACGAAGCCAAAATAACCAAACCAAGCGTCGGAAAGTCAAGCCTCGCAACCTTAGCGGACGCAGTTCCGCGGCCTCCTCCGAACTCTATGATCTCGATTGACATCACCACAAAATCCCAGCAGCCACAACAACTAGTTTGCTTCCCAACAACATGTCCAATTGTATGCAGGTCCAAATGATTGCTTCCTGCAACCCCAGAACTCAAGCAACTAACTTGTCTCTCTCTTATGCCACCAAACTAGGATAGACACCACCAAAACCCAAAACCCCGCCGCACAAAATCAAACCTAGATCCAGCGAGGAACGGATCTCTGCTGCGAATAGTTGACTGCTACGAACGAAAACTAAAATGCGAACGAAGCCTTGCTGACGATGAAGGCCGCCGCACCAAAACCCTAGGACGAAGTGTCATGCCCCAGACCGCATCTAAGCACATGTACAACCGCCGTATGACTAAATGACGTCACTCGCAAGTCAACATAACTTAATCATGCAGGGCGTCGATGAACATAGTCCATACCATACTCAGTAAGTAAACATACATAACAACATCACGTATTTGGATTGAAGGAATAGCGGAAATATTCAATATTCAATCATATGCCACACATGGCCAAAACGTGGATTTGCAGGCCCAAAACAAATGTACTTATTACAAAATATCCATGAGCATAGTTTATAGTTTAAAACAGTAAAGGAAGCACGAACCACGTCTCCCTTTAGATCACTTCACCGAGCAAGGTGAGAATAGCAAGCTTGAGCTTCAACCTGAAATGGTGGGCCCCCCGAAGGGGGTCAGTACAAGTACCGAGCGAGTAGCAGGCTAAATGTAGAATAACTAACGTTTCAAGTATAAGACCCAAACATAGGGTGATACATATACGTATAGTTCTTTCCCCCAAGTTATAAAATACATATCAATATATACACACTTAGAAATACCCGACCCGTAGGTCATTGTTTATTTGGTAAGATAGTATAGTCAATATTCTTGACTTAAACCCAAACCCACTCATATACCTATGAGTGTATAGAACTCCTCCTGGTTCAAATCATCTTAACTTGAGGACACCGCCTGGTCCTAAACTACGGATAGTAATTTAATAGTAACCTATGAGTTTTGAGGATACACGCCCGATCCTTGGGTACTCCACCCTATATAACCGAGTTTTGAGGATAACCGCCCGATCCTTAGGTATTCCACCCTATAACCGAGTTTTGAGGATACACGCCCGATCCTTGGGTACTCCACCCTATAATCGAGTTTTGAGGATACACGCCCGATCCTTGGGTACTCCACGTCTCCACCCTATAACCGAGTTTTGAGGATACACGCCCGATCCTTGGGTACTCCACCCTATAACCGAGTCTTGAGGATACACACCTGATCCTTGGGTACTCCACCCTATAACCGAGTTTTGAGGATACACGCCCGATCCTTGGGTACTCCACCTGACTTATGATCTACTATACCACATATCATCCTAGATAAGGTCTATATCATAATCAATAATCAAGACTAAACCAAGTCTTAAGGCCTAAGCATAATCATCCATGCAATTCATGCTTTAAAAATCAATATATAGGCAAAACAGCACCAAACTGGCGTTGATTTTGACATAACCGGCGCCGGTTATTAATTAAATTAATTAAACCAGCCTTGCCGAATCGTAACCGGCGCCGGTTTTGCCTATAACCGGCGTCGGTTACCCCCTGGGCAACCTAGTCAACATTTTCGTTGACTCGCCATTTCAAACCCGATTTGCGTCAAACTTAATCCCAACGTGTATTAAGTTATAACCAAGCATTTTATACCATTTTTATCCTTTAAAACATCATATAAGTTTTTATAAACATTTTCATATCATACATCATTTATGATAGTAATGGTTCATTCCATATAAGCCTAATCACTTTGGCTAATCACATGTTTAAGCATCTTTTAAACATCAAAATGAACACATATAACATTTACTTAGGTAATCTCGTACTTAACCCAAGAGTTATAAGACATTAAGCCGCTCACTCACCTCGAATGAGCGTGATGAAGTTCTACCCTTCTCGGTTGAACTCCGGCGAAACTCCGGCGAACTTTGACGAACTCCGACGATAACTCCGACGACTCTTTAAACTTCGTGAAAGCTCTTAAATCACCTTTGACAAGTGCCCATATCAATACAAATAACCTCTAAAGGGTTATTTTCCGGCGAACCGGCCCCTTTGGCTTATTAGTCCATTCTTGGACATTAGAACCACCTTCCAACCCCTCTTCCTACATTATAACATGTAGAACTATAATAGGGGTACTTCATATGATATAAAAGTCATATGAAGTTCAAAGAGAGGAGAAAAAGTTACTATGGAGTCATTACCTTAATTATCCAAGCTTCTACTCTTTCCCTCTTTAATCTTCTTTCTTGGACCTTGTCTTCCTGAGCTCGAATTTGGCTATGCAGTGATGGTGCTGCAGAGCTTATTCTCTCATTTCCTTGTGCTTGGGCCGAAATAATTCCTAGGAGGAAAGGGTTGGGAGTTGTTTTGTCTCAATTGTGCCAATGAATGTTGGGAGGGTCCCTTTGGTTGTCAACCATGTCTCACCCATCTGTTCTTACATCCATCGCATGCTCCAAAGCCCCCAAATCAAATGCCCAGCACACAAAAACGTGGGGTGGCCCCCACTCATGTGGGAAGTCATCCC